TTCAGCACGAAATCTCTATTGAACCTCAAGAAGACGAACTCCTGTTTGCAAATTGAGGATGCAATGTCATTAACCAGCTTTTTTCTCTAGGTAAAATGTTTAAGGGCTAAGCTGCGTCTCTGCCAAACGTCTAAGTCAGTAAGCGTTCTCCCATTCCCGTAAGTTTCCAGAGATTTTACATACATTTAAATTCTCGTTGTTTGTTCTTTATCCCACTTGTACTATAGTTTACCGGCTATTCGCTAAGAAGGGTTTGACTAAGTTACTGAAAATGGACATCCGATTCCGCACAGACGTCCACATGGTAGACTCTCCTCTCAAGGAGCAGGCTTGTAGGCGGTTCTTTTTGTTTGGATGGGTGGGAACTGGAGATGGTTTGGTACAGGTACTGAAAAAGAAAGCAGAAACAATGCCACAAGAGAACGAATTCGTCTTTGATTTCTTCTTAAAAACAAACTCCAGCTTGTCCTCTGGAGACCTAATGCTGAGCCCTGCCATACGTATTCTGTGATGTTTCTACATATGCCGTCTGAACTCTAATGCCTTTATATTATTGAAGAGCAGGTTTGAAACTCCGGACGCGCGCGCCAGACGATCTTGGCAAGTCTCCTCTAAGGAGCAGGCTTTTAAACGACACTGTATTAGTGAAGATGTTTATTTGGTAAGTATAGCGAAGACAGAGGCCAATCCTCAATTTCGGATCCCGTACGATTTGCTTTGCCCTCTCAAAACATGCCAAAGATCTCATGACCTGGGGCCTTTTGGAGCGATATAAGACAAAATACAACGGCCTCACCTCTTGCACGGCTGCGCTTATCTTGCACCATTCATCGCCGAATATCCAGTTACCGTTCGCAACAAATAGCAACGAGATCATTACTGAGAACGATAGATCCAATAGATTAACTAGTGATATGTGTGCAAATACAACATAAATCAGTGTTGTTCGAAACTTCTTGCTGAAATGCTAAGGTTTTCAAAAGTTGGGAGATATAAAAGAAAAACTCATATATGAGACCTTGTATAGATAGTAGTTAT